GGTGTGGGTTGTGGGTGGAGAACTTGGGAGGGTGTGAGGTCAGGTGGGTTTTAGAAACAAAAAACTGTGAGTGTATGAGCTCAGGTGGGGTTTAAGTAAAAAACCTGGGGGGGGTGTGAGCTCAGGTGGGTTTTAGGCGCAAAACCTGTGAGAGCATGAGTTCAGGTGGGTTTTAGGCAAAAAGACCTGGGGGTGTATGAGCTCAGGTGAGTTTTAGGCAAAAAAAACCTGTGAGGGTAGGAATTCAGGTGGATTTTAGGCAAAAAACCTGTGCGGGTGTGAGCTCAGGTGGGTTTTAGGTGGAAAATCCATGAGTGTGTGAGCTCAGGTGGGTTTTAGGTGGAGAACCTGTGAGTGTATGTGCTCATGACACTGTGGAAAATCGTGTGTGAGCTCAGGTGGGTTTTAGGTGGAGAACCTGTGAGTGTATGTGCTCATGACACTCGTGACTGACCGCGGGCTCAGCTCAGGGCTGAGGGTGCTTAAATCCCTGGGTTTGTTGACACATTCCTAGCCTGATAATCTCTGCATCACTGTCTCGGTGCATGTGCCAAAACCACCCAATTCCAGCTCTGTTTTCTTCCTCATTTTGGGTAGGGATGGAGAGTTAAAGATGTTTTGAATTACCTTCTTCTTTAAATTACCTACTGGGCTTTATAATCTGGTGGTGTTCAGGGTCCAGCCCAATCTCCATATGCCCAGTCTCCCTATGAAATTTGAGTTAAGACCCTGGAGATGTAAACTCTACTTCCCTTGGCTTTGCAGGAGCAGAGAAGTCATCCTCAGGCTTCCTCCTCTTCTCCCCTGTGTCTGGGGCTGGGGCAGAGCTCTCCCTTCTGTCATGTTTTTGCCTTGTGTGAGTTGTGTGTGTGTAGGATATGATTTTTGGACAACCCATTCCCAAAATGTTGTGGAAGGATGTTGGCAAAGCAGAAAATCAGTCTTGGTCAACCTCAGGGCTGGTTATACCTCCTGCAGCTAAGTGTTTCAAACTCAATCTTTGCCTTAATTATTTCATTTAAGGCTGAGGAAGTTACAGTAAATTCCTGTATGTAGTGGATATTTTTTCCATTTTTAGTCTTTTGTTTTTCTTCCTTTCAAACTGCAGGAAGGATTTCTCTTGGGAGAGGTGAGGCAAGAAGAGACCTTTAGCATTAGTGATTCACAGATCAGCAACACTGAATTTCTACAAGTGATTGGTAAGTGATGTGACTTCAAGACATCCTCAGACAGCACTTCTCAGGGTTTCAGTTTCCAGGGCATTTCATCAACAATTACTTCTCTTGTGAGACCATCACAGGATGTTTCAGTCTGTCAGAATCTCATTAGCCACAGTGTTGTGTGTTTGTGGTTGAGATGTGAGGAGAGGAAGCAGACCTTGAGTAGGTACAGGGGGTTTGTGCATCTTGTTTTGTGGAGGAAAGATCGTTTATTGAAGACATTTTTCTGCATTTCCTGATGGGAAATTATTTATTTGGCTGTTGGTCCTGCAGGTAATTTCCTGCTGGATACAAATACCTAAATAGGAGGATGTGCCCAAAAATGAAATAATTAATTGCTTGATCTACTGATACTGAAAGGGAACAGATTTTCAGCAGTGTGTTTGGATGGACTGGAGGGAGTTGGTGACATCATAAACAGTCACAGCAAGGTTGGAACAGGAATATTCATCAATTTACTTGGCTGGTAAATACAAGGACTGCAGAGCTGATCTGATGTGCATAGAGAAGACCAGAGATGGTTGAAGTAGATTTTTATACATGAGCAGAAGCTCTTACATGTTTTTAGCTCTGTGGTTTATAGCAAATAAGAAAACCCATGACAGACAATGCCTTTTGGTTTCTGTATTTATAACCAGAGATTAAAGTATATCTAAAGCTCCTTAAAAACCTAATGTGTCCATACCTGGATGTGTGACTCTGATCCCAGGTAACAAGCAGCTTTCCTAAACCAAGTGTTCATGGTGCTAAAAATTATTCCCTTTCTAGATAACTCTTTGTCACATTATCTTTACAGTTACTTAATGAAAATGGGAATTACCCACCCCTGGAGACCACCTGGGTGTTTATTTGGTGTTCCAGATTTTTACTCTAATATTTATTCATGAACTTTAAGTCTTGAACTCCCAGTTCAGCTCTTGAGATTGACAGTTTTGTGTCACTGTTGTCACAGATGAACTTTGACATCCTTGTGTGTCTTAGTGGTGATGTGTTCAAGTATATATGTGTGTAGATATGCTATGTATACTATATATATGTACTTAAGTCAACATGTAAACCTTAAATTTAGAATGATGGCTGCTTCATGTGGTCTGAGCTGGAGGGTTGTTGCTTCCTGGTTTGATTTCAAAAGGCAAGGTCTGTGTAGAAGCATCATAACCTGAGAAAATCAAGTCTGTTGCTGCACTCAGTATATTTACTGGAAGGAATTGGTCTAAGCTGAAATAATTGCACTTACTGGCTGTGTTAGCAGATGGTTTCCACAGATTCCTGTGTGATGGTGTGAAAATATTAGGGTTGATACGATTTTATACAAGTCCAAATAAAGGAAGTCAGTCTAACAGCAGCAGAGGAAGTCAGTGAGTCTGTCAGCAGCATCGTGAGGAGTTCTTGCCTGAGAGAGTGCCCAGTCTCTCGGGCACTGTGCCTGGAATGGCTGCTCAGGGCCTTGTTTTGATAGTCACTGAATATGCTGAGATGCTAATGTGTGCACTCTGCTGTTCTTGGGAATTGTGATCCGACTGGGACTGCTGAGGCTGCAATCCTGAGCAGCCCATGACTGTCAGAGCAGCAGGTGGTGAGTCACTCCAGGAAGGAAGAGGCTACACAAAGTTGTTGCTAAACACTCCAGTGGGTTCTGATGGAGGAGCTGAAAATATTATTGCGACATCATCACAGAATCATGGAATGGTTTGGGCTGGAAGGGACCTTAAAAATCAAATTCCAACACCCTGCCATGGGCAGGGACACATCCCACTATCCCAGGTTGTTCCAAGCCCCTGGAAAAGTAAGTCCTGCTTGGAATTAGATAATGCGGATTGGATTTTTGCTCTCTCCTGACTCTCAGATTACTGACGTACTTCAACCTTTGCTGCTTGAATCAGCATCTTAGCATTTATTACAACCTCTTCAATGAAAAAAAAACCTGCTGTGACTTTGTCATATTTTATATAACAGAATTATAAATGCAGCTCAATGTTTTGAAATGGCTTTTAACCCCTTTTATTATCATAGATTCTATTTGCCTTTCCTCTTTAAATACTCCAGTGTGTAACATTTCAGTGATTCCCTTTTTTATTCACTGCTATATGAATGCAAGAAAACTGCTGTGGAAAGGGGGTATAAAAAAAAAGCCTTTGTGAGGAGGTTACAACTATGAAATAGTACCAAAAGTGTGTGTTTGAGGTTCAGATATATCTCTGTGTATCTGAGCAAGTGTATGTCTCGCTTACTAAAATAATTCCGTCAAGTGGGAGGTTACAGAGAGAAGCCAATTTTCTGAGGATGGTGCTGTGCCATCAAGTGTGGTTGAGACATTAATGGCAGTGTGTGGTCTGGCACAAATGTGCTCAGTAGCTGTGATGTGGAAAGTTCATGCAAGATATGCCACTGTAATTTCTCTTTGCCTTGAGCAGCTGGACATATGTCTTTCTTTTTTTTTGTTGTTGCAGAAATCCATAACCATGAGCCTTGTTCAAAACTCTTTAGGTAAGCTTTTTTTCTGTTGTCTTCCTGAGTTGGCTGCAGAATATCAAAATAGGGAGCTCACCGCAATGAATTAGCATTTCAAATGTACCTGAATATTTTTTCATGAGTTTGCTCATCTGATGGTGGTTCAGAAACACATGGAAATGGCTCCAGCCATGACAATGGAAGGAGGAGTTTGCTCTTTAGTAGCAATGAGGTGAAAAATGGTGCTGAGGTACTTAGGACAGGCTTATTTCTCTATCTCTTTGAATATCTCTCTACCATCCTGTGGAGCTGGTGGAGGTAAGATAACAGTTCAAATCATATCACTCTGATAATTAAGATCAACATCAAAATCACTTTGAATTATTGTAGTCTTGGGTTAGCTCTGCCTGGGCTTAGTGAGTGACAGAACACCTCGTGTGCCCTAACCTTAGTGACTGGGGTAACAAGTTGTTCTGTAGTTAGTTGTCCTGACTTGCCCCAACTAATTATTCTGAACCCTTCAGCTTTCTAGCTGTTTTTGCCTTCTGATCTCCTGAACTCCAGCATTTCAGTTAAATACAGGGCTAATATATTCTATTTAGCAGCTTCCATCCATTTACATGTAGATTGTCTCGATAGCCTTCCCTTGTTATGCAGTGGTGGCTTCCAAAGCACTGCCTAGAATTCCTTTCTAGAAGGAATCCCCAATTAATCTCCTCTTGTCTTCATTTAGAGGTTTCCAGCCAATTAAGAAGACACAGTAGCTTAGATATTATGATTGACACTGGTTGCATTGAAGAGAAAAGCTGCAGCCTGTCATTTGCTACCCAGTAATTACAGAGAGGGTTCTCTTAGCCCAGTGATTAAAATGCTGGAGACTCCACACATGGAGATAATATCCCAGTGTCTGGTAGGCTCTCTCTGGATCCCAGGGATGCTTTGTGCAGTGCATATCCAAACGGATCACGTTCGCTCTTCCCCCAGGCAAGAAACGGGTTGTTAGTGACTGAGCTGGTGCAGGAAGGGGGTGAAGTGTCTGCACCTCTCTGTGTGCTTCTGCACAAGGAAACGGATTAATTAATTAATTCACTTCAGAGCACGAGGGAAGCTCTCACAGCTCAGACACTTTTTATCAATACCAGAGTGTGCTGGTGGTTTTTCTAGTCCTTTAATTGTAGCAGATGCTGATTTTGGCGGTTTCTACCTTATCCTTTTAAGTCAAGCTTTTTGTTCATCCACTCTGTATTCTTGCTGATGTTGAGCATAACAGGTTTGGTTCCAGTGCTGGTACTGAGTGAAAACAAGGATTTTTAGAGGCTGGTTTCTCTGTGCAGATTTAAGATGAATGTCTTTCGTTACATACTAGTTGCTCACCCCATAAGAAAATTATTTTTATAAAGCAACAGAAGGAATTGGATATCTGCTGCTTTCCAGAATGTATAAATAAATATTGTGAGCATGAGTTGAAAAGATTATGCAAATATTACATAGTATCTCAAATGAGTAATTAGTTGTAGTCTGAATTTTCACAACTATTTGTGTCTCGAAGCAAATAGTATTCCCACCCTTATTTACCAGCCAAGTTCAGAGCTCAGGATTTTCTGTAGTGGTTTTTTACCCCCACACAAGTGTTGAGATCACAGACCTCTAAACCAGAGTGTTTTCCTGCTCTGCTCTAGGTGCTAGTGATATCAGCTCTTGAAAGAGACTAAGCACTTGGCAGGTAAGTCAGGGAGGAATCTATTTTCAGCTGTTTTTCCTTTTATCATGCAGTGAATTTATAAACCTGCCTGCATAGGTGGATTTATAAATTCCTACATCTGTCATGTCCTCAAAATAACATGTCAGGGTTTGGGCCTCAGGTCTGGAAGCAGAGCCGGATGGAAATCCAGTGAGGCTTTGGATCCTTGCTTACCTCATTATAAGTGTTTTGCCTTCAGGGTTCCAATCATGTGAGTCTAACTGCAAGACTGAGCTCTAGAGATTGATTTGTAGGTTTTCTGTACACACCTTGTTGCAGGAGTGAAGCACCAGGCACCAAGCTAATGTCTGCAGTGCAAACTGATAATTACAGGCAGCTTCTATTTCATTATTAGGGTTTTAAAAGTGGGTAGAAATTTTGCACCAGCTAGTCTTAGGCATTAATTTATGTGTTCTGCACCTTCTGTAAGAAACTGGCTGTGTCTTAGCAGCCTTGCAGCCAAACCTGAGCTGCTGCCTGTGCTCTGCATGGCACCTGAGCTGGATGTCCTCAGGAGCTGATGTGATTACTGACCTGTGTGGATAAAGGTAAAGCTGTGGGGTTTATTTTCTACTGTATAAAATGCCAAGTGTTTGAAGAACACTCGAAGTATAAGTTATTTATGTATATGTATGTAAGTTATATGTGTATAATGTGTGTAAACTGTACCTGCCTTTCTCCCTTTTTGGTTCTAGCTTTTATGACTATGCAGGCAAAGTTAATGAGGAGAGTTTGGACAGGATTCTTAAAGACCGAAGAAAAGTAAGTTTTCTCTCTCTTCCTCCTGTTCTAGGCATTAGAAACAGTGGGGTTGGAAAACATGAACAGAAAAGAGCAGTAGTTAACTAGAAGAAATACTTTCACTCACAAGTCTAATGGTTTGTTTTGATCCAGGGCTTATCCTGTACAGAGGTTGGTGGATTTGTGGTACTTTGGCTAAACTGGGGGCAATGTCTAATTTCCCTGAAGAAATGCAAAGGATTTAAGTGTAGGTCTGCAAAAGTGAAGGGCTGTATTCACCCACTCCAGTTTCTGAGCTAAACGTGGAGCATAATGGCTGTGTCCTTCGCTGCAGAACCCAGCAAAAGTGGAGTTGATCTGAAAATCTGCTCCAAGGAGTTCACTTGAAAAGATTGTGATGATATAACCTTGTAACTGCAGTTTTAAACTGGAAAAGCTCTTCTGTCAGTTGTCAGATGCTGTCACAGCTTTGCCCATGTTGTTAGCAGCACAACCAGCATTAAGAAGATTAAATTTTAGTAGTTATTTGGAGAAGAGACAAACCTTTTCTTCATGTTTCATCTCATTCCATACTTGCAGTGCACTATCATTCTAATGATCCCAGAACTTGTTTCAGAAGTTCTCATGAACTGATCCATCAAAGAGCAGAGCTGAAGTGGTTGTCAGCTTGCTCCCACAAAAACAGGCATGGCTGACTTGCATGGTCCAACCTGTAGCAGTTGTGCACCTTGTCAGACCTCCTAGTGCATGAGTTTGGCTCATGGGTTGGTTAGTTGAGCTAGCACAAGGTAAGGGTGGTTAAAACAAGGCCTTTTCTCCTGTTTGGGTAATTTTTCCAAAGAAGCAGCAGCAAATCCATGTTGTTCAGCACTTCCAGCACTGCTGGTTGCAGCTCAGGGATAGCAAAGCTACCTGTGGAGGCAGAGCCTGTTGGGATTTCTGTCCTCTGCAGGTGACCCAAGTGTAACTTCCACTCCTCTGAGTAGGAATTGCCTCCTGTGTGGATTGGCCATCATCACACAAAGCATGTGAGGACAGTTGCTCAGCTGCTGATGGAATTTTCAGCCTTTAGTCTCTGTCCTTACCCACCTACACTGTGGGATTTGCCTGCAGACAAGGCTTACACTGAGCAGGGATCTTTAGGGAAGCCACTGCTAAATCTGTGCAATCTGTGAGGATTGAAATGCTTTTTTTCTTGTCTGTCTCTGCCAGCAAATGCTCTCAGAATAAACTCCTCAGTGTGTACCAATGTGGTTATGCTGAGTGCACAGTGTATTTATACAGACACACATGTAGATCTTTATGCTGGTGATAGAGTGAGTTTCCAGCCTTGAATACTGCATTTGGTAACCCTGTAACTCTGCTCTACAACATTACAGAGGATATTAAGTTCCCCTTCAGGAGATGAGGCAAAAACCATCATTTTTGTCTCTCACTAGTTTTCAGTTGAATTTTGTTTTGTTAGGATCCTTATTGCAGGGAGACTCTGGCAAGGTGCATTATCTGTGGGGAGAAAACAGGCAAAACCAGAGAAAATAAAGCTTACATATGTTATGGGACTAAAGCACCACAGATTTAATGACATGTTGTCTGGGGATGGAGAGAGTCTTGTACTTTCTTTTATTAGCAAGCTGAACAGGCTTTAGTACGTTCAGACTAAATGATTGTACAGATTAATACAAGAAAAGGTCAAAACCAAAGCTTCCCTTTTTCTTTTTTTTTTACATAGGAGTAATTTTATATGTAGATTCTGCTTTATTCCACTGATTACATAGTGTATCCCAGCAGGATAGTGCCTGTTCCTGGGACTCCTCCTCAGCCAAGTTGTTCATGCTGTGTCTTTTTCCATTACTCTCTTAAATGTTGGTTTACATGAAGTAAAGGAGCTGAATGCCTGTTGTGTTCAAAATAATCCTAGAATTAGAATGGGTTTTGGCTGATGTGCAGGTGAATCTTTCACAACTCAGTGCCCAGTGAGATAATTTTACTGTTTTATTGGCACAGATTAGTCTCATGAACAGACTTGAATGTGCAAATGTGCTTGTGAAGCCCTGGAAGTGCCTTATGAATCCATACAAGTGAATAGGCAGTGAAAATATTTAGGCTAAAGAAAACCCACAGCTCGAGTCTCTGAGGTTTGTTGCTACAAGAGAAGATTGAAGAACATTGGGAGTGGGAGCTTGAATGCCACTGGGGGCCACACAGGTGTTTGCTCACAGTGAGGGTGAGCAGTTGAGTCATATGGTAACACAATGTCACTTGGTTTGGGTTATTTAATAGGTGCAAATCACTAGAATTCAGGTTTTGTTGTCCTAAAACTTTTGGCTAACTCACAGGATACCACAGTTTTAGCAACTTTATTCCCAGAAGGTAAATACCTCTCAGTTAACACTTGGGTTTCTCCCTGCTGTGCTTTGCTTACAGAACGTTATTGGCTGGTACAGGTTTAGGAGAAACACTCAGCAGCAAATGTCATACAGAGAGCACATCATCCATAAACAGCTGACACACATCCTTGGAGTGCCTGACCTTGTCTTCCTTCTCTTCAGCTTCATTTCCACTGCAAATAACTCCACACATGCTTTAGAATATGTGCTTTTCAGACCAAACCGAAGGTGAGTAATCTCTGGGTGTGATCATTCCTCATGCTCTGTGCTGCTGCTTACTGCTGCTCCTTAAACTCTTCAGAAGTTTGTAGAATTACACAGCAAGAAGCTTTGTGTTTGCTTAATGGATGTCTCGGGGCACATTGCTGACACCTTTTTTTTTTCTCCCTGTGCAAATGATGTATAAATTAAAGTTGGGGTGAGCAAAAGTTCTTTGCAGCCTTTAAATCCTCAGACAAGCTAAAAATGTGCTTTAAGAGATGCATCAGATGTCAGTGTTGTGATTCTTACAGTGCACCTGGATGTTTCTGTGCTGGTTTGAGTGCACATCTCAGAGGGATTTCAAGGGAGTTTTTGCTCCTGTGTTTATTTTGAACACAGCTTGGAATATTTAGCAGCTTTTATAACAAACCTTAGGGAAGGTTTAAAATGAGATGAGTTGTGATCATCAGATGGGTGGGATGATATCAAGGCTGTTGTAAAGAGGCTTTTGAGAGTGAATTAATTGTTTCTACCCTTCCTCTGCAGGTATAATCAAAGGGTGTCACTAACTATTCCTAATCTAGGCAACACTAGTCAACAGGAATACAAAGTTTCTTCAGTGCCAAATACTTCTCAGAATTATGCCAAAGTTATTAAGGAACATGGGTAAGGACTTTTCCTTTGCAGCTCTCTGTTCTGTACCTTCCAAAGAATACCACAAGCATGAATTTCAGTCAGGATAAAACTAGTTCTGGAGGAGAATGGTCATTTTGTAGTCTTTCTCCTGCTTGGAATCAAACCTTTTAGAAGAACAAAGGGAACTTGGTGCACTCATCAGAAAAGCAGAGTTGGTGTGGTCCTTCTGTGTGTTGTGAGCCTTCTGTCTGGAACCTTCTGCCTTGATTCCCACCCACCTCCCCAAGGAATTCTGTGTGCAAACTTGATTTAAAACTTGAGCTCTGACTTGGACTGGTTGAAATCTTGTTGTTTTTCTTAAGTCTTTTTAATTGCTGTAAATGCAAAGGAGCTTTTGTGGCTGTTAACAAGGAAATTATACAAGCTTAAAAAGTTTAATCTCATTCAAGTGAGACTTGATTGTTCCAGAAGGAATTTTGGTGTTGAATATGCAGATTTTGATTCATGACAGTATGGTACAGTATTAGCAATCTACTAAAGCTCAAATAGCATATTGAGCAATAAAATACTTTTAAAAATACAGTGAGAGACTGTGTAACAGCAATTCAAAGAAAGAATGAGCTAGAAAACTGTGTTTTCTTGTCTAACTAATGACTTCTACTTTGCTTTCTCTTTTAGTACTGATTTTTTTGACAAAGATGGAGTGATGAAGGACATCAGGGCTATATATCAGGTTTATAATGCACTTCAGGAAAAAGTACAGGTAACATCCTTTACTCCATATTGATCAGTGTCTATGTGGCATCTTTTATTCATCCTTTTAAACCAGGAGTGGAGGAGATGGAAGTTTTTAGAGCTCGTAAACATGAACGGTAGGAAAAGGAGTCTGATTCTAAGGTGGAAATGTAACAGTTTCTGTTTGATATATACATTTCATATATATATTTCGTATATATATTTCATACACATTTACATGTCTGACACAAAGTTGGGGGGAGTGTCGAT